ACACACACTCACGCACACATACTCACGCACACACAAACACACACACTCACGCACACACACACAAACACACACACACTCACGCACACATACTCACGCACACACAAACACACACACTCACGCACACACAAACACACACACACAAACACACACACTCACGCACACACAAACACACACACACTCACGCACACATACTCACGCACACACAAACACACACACTCACGCACACACAAACACACACACACTCACGCACACATACCCACGCACACACAAACACACACACTCACGCACACATACGCACTCACGCACACATACTCACGCACACACACACACGCACTCACGCACACATACGCACACACACACACGCACTCACGCACACATACTCACGCACTCACGCACACATACGCATGCACACACACACACACACACGCACTCATACACACGCACTCACGCACACATACTCACGCACTCACGCACACATACTCACGCACTCACGCACACATACGCATGCACACACACACACACACACACGCACACATACTCACGCACTCACGCACACATACGCATGCACACACACACACACACACGCACTCACGCACACACACACACGCACTCACGCACACACACACACGCACTCACGCACACACACTCACGCACACATACGCACGCACACACAAACACACACACGCACTCACGCACACATACTCACGCACACACACACACGCACTCACGCACACATACGCACGCACACACACACACACACACGCACTCACGCACACATACGCACACACACACACGCACTCATGCACTCACGCACACATACGCATGCACACACACACACACACACGCACTCACGCACACACACACACACGCACTCACGCACACATACGCACGCACACACACACACACACACACGCACTCACGCACACATACGCACGCGCACACACACACACACACATGTTTAAAAGTGTGTGTTGAGATCCGAGTTAACGATGCCTTCCTGTCCTTCCTTCATCCGTCATGAACACCGACCGGAGAAATCCACTGATGCATCCGTGCTGCTCAGCAGCAGAACTGCACTAGGCACCAAAAGAACCAATCAGCTGGCAGAGCTGCTGGTGAACGTGTGAGCTGCAGAACAAAACTACGTGACTCGATTTAAGGAACAAAGTAGAAACCAGCTGCTGTTGTTTATTTGTTGTTGTTGTTTACAGAAACTAAATCTATCTGCAGAGTTTTACACCTCAGAGCAGCTTCAGATCACGACCCGTTATTAATATCATGTTCTTTACACCGACCTGAATACTCTGTCATGTTCACACGTCCAAACCTTACAAATCAAGTATAATCAATATTATTAATATCATTTACTCATTAGTTATCTGTTATACTTATTTATATTTGATAGTAATATGATTAATAATATTTAATCTTCTATCATTTGTGGGTTTGGTGCATTCATGATAAACAACGGGTCACTAGTAGAACGTGTTTCTAACGCTGGTTCAGCAGGGTTAGGTTAGGTGATCAGCAGAGAGTCACGACTGAACACAGGCCCGAAAAACACAAACCCACCTCAGATCGGCCCGCCGGGAACTTGGGTCCCGGTTCCGCTCGTCACGTTAACTCTCATTGTGACATCAGAGCTCTACTGGCTCTGTGAGAATCCCAGCGCCTGCTGCTTTGTGTTTGTGCGCACCGCGGGAGCGAGCAATGAGCGCACGCGGTTCTGCAGCTCGGGTGCTGCAGAACCGCGGTTCAGTCAGCACCAGGCGAGCGAGCGAGAGAAGAGATTTTGATGGAACTTTTTTCTGATTATTCTAACTGACGGATTTCCGTCGCCACGACGTAAAACTTTCATCCCTGAGATGATATGAGATGAACTGATGTGTAGCAGCCCGACTCATGCTTAACCCTAACCCTACACAGCAGAAGTCCTCCAGGGCTGCAGCACACCTCACCGACATTAATGAGTAATGAGCTTCTGCAGAACTCATCGGGGACAGGAAGTGATCAAACCCTCGAGGGCTGGAGCGGGTCTAGTCATGCTGCTTGCAGTTAATTATTTGTCCACCAGGTGGAGCCCAAGATCCTTGTGCCGTGAGGCTCTGACCTTCTTCAGAGGGATGGTCTGGATCCACTCCATGGTGTTGACGTCAAACACATCCACAGCATTCTCACTGTGCACCGACAGGTAGGGGGCGCTGTAGCCTGGACAAAAGGAGACAGGTGCTCAGCCTCAGGACGGGCTTCATAACTGCATCAGTGTTTCTCCTCCACTCACAGGCAGCGCTGGGCCAAGCGGGCCACATCAGCTCCTGCTGCCGTGACCTTCGACCCTGCGAGTCCACGTACACCCCGATGGCACTGAAGCACAGCAGCAGCTCCTTGTTGGAGATCTCCACGGCACACAGAGCGCTCAGGTTCTGCTGTGGGATGAAGGCCAGGGTGTGGTCCTCAGGGTGGAGCAGGCTGACGGGGGTCGTGTCTCCATGGAGACTGTGGAGGTCATCACACCTAATGAGTCGGGGTCGTTCAGGATTTCAGGTCAAACGTGCTGAGATTGGAGGCAAACAGACCTGTAGCGCGTGAAGCCGGACTGGTAGCCCACATACAGGCGCGCGCTCAGCAGACCCATCCACTGGACCTGCGCCGGCGCCTGCAGCTCCCGCATGTGGCGGTGGCGAGATCTACCTCGGTTCACCTGGGAGAACGAGAGTGAGAGTATCACGTAGATGTCAGTGAGGCCAAGCGTCTGGGTCACAGCCGCCTCCTCACCTCGTAGCAGATGATCTTGCTCTTCATGGCCACGCAGAGGCAAGTGAGGGAGTTGTTCCGGATCGGGCCGGAGGCGATAGCCTGGCAGTTTTTGGTTTCAGCCAGCTTCTGGGACTCGGTCTCACGGCCGTCCAGGGCCTGGGTGGGAATGAGGCGGACGTGGCGGTTCCTGCCAGAGATGACCGCCAGCAGCTGCTCCTGGGGGATCAGGTCGATCTGGAAGACCTTCTTGTTGTCCCCCACTCGGATTATTTCTGAGGATGGATGGAGACCAAAGGAAGATGAGAAGGGTTGCACAAGAGCGGGAACGTAAACAGGAGCACATAAAGAGATCTCACCATCTTTGGTGACGTGAATGACATACAGGCCTTCCTCGTTGCCCAGGGCAACACGCTCGTGATCTAAAGGAAAAAGGACAGCGCTGTGATTTACTGCAGATGTGGCTCTCCACCTGGAGCTCTGAAGACCCACCTATGATGGCAGCAGACTGGGCGGTCTTGATCAGCGGCAGCGTGCTGTCGTAGGCCTCCTTGGGGGCGTAGACGAAGCGCTCCTTCAGCTTGTTCTTCTTGAGGATGCGGTGCAGCTCATTGAGCAGGCCCACCCACTTGTTCCTCTCCTGGTCGCTGTCGGCCAGGATCAGGATGGAGGCCTTGTGGCTGCTGGAGGGAGACAGCTGGGAGGCCGTCACCTGCACACAGAGCAGAGGTGAACATCTGAGGAGAACCGATGCAGGTTCTTCTCCAGCAGCACAACTCTTGACAGGAACTCACTCTAAATATACACGGGATGTCTTTGCGACTGGCGTGGATGACGTCTGAGGCCAGAACGGAGCTGACGGAGAACTCTTCATCCCTGGGAGACAGAAAACAGTTTCTCCTGAAGACCAGATCCAGATGAGTGGTGTTCATGACCCCGTAGCTGTTGGGTGTTAACTCCTTTAGTCTAACCCTAACACGGATCACAGCTAACTCTGTGGCACGTGCCGTGCCCCTTTTCAGCCACAAGATGGCCTCAGTGGCTTTTGCCTCGCCCGTCTCCGGTACCCGGCTGTTGCCCCCAGCTCAGTGAGAAGGTCCAGGGCAGTACAGACTCTCTCCTCCTCGTGTGCTTGGCTTTTTTCTCGTTCGACTTTGGTATCTGACTCGTTTTGGAATTTGGATTTAGGATTAGACCTTCGATTTAGGATCTCCCAGAGGGTTAGGGTTAGCTCCTCCTCCTTTTGTTGTTCATCCCCCTCCCCTTCTGGGTTGGCGTTCGTCGTATCCCGTTTGGCATTTAGCTCCTTTTGTTTTGTAAAGAGATGTTGTTCAGATCCTTTGTAAATATTCCCTTTTTTAAATAAAATCCTTGTATTTTAGCGACACGGCACTCTGCTTATTATTCAACCCACACACTTTTACTACCCCCCCCCCCCCCCCATCGCTCCTGGAGCAACACTCTGCCCCCCGTTTACCGAAGTCCAACAACCTGCCAGCTGGAACTCTCCAGATGAACGCATCAGCGTGGGTGCAGACACGCCCAGACTCTAACGACCTGTCTAAAGCAAGCCTGTCATTGGTCAGGACGCCAGGTCGTCATGACATCACAGAAAACGTCTGATGACATAAATGTTGATCCATGACTGACGAACAGAGAAACAGAGCTAAGAGGAAACACTGATTTAGAGGTGGAGGAGAGAGAGGGACGTGCTAGAGATGATGACGCCCTCTGCTGTCCTGGAGGGGTACTGCGCCGCTACACTCCCCAGACAGCAGAGGTCTGCCTCAGTGCAGGAACCCGAGCTGACGGAGCCTTTAATCACACCTGAGGAGGACGCTGACAGCTCAGCAGAAGGTAACAAGAACAAGACAACATGTTGGAACAGAAACTTCCTCTGAAGCTGAAACGGGCCGGTTCTGGTCCACCGATCCACAGCAGCTATAAGCTTTGTGTTATTGATGAGGAGGCGGTGTGATGATCGGGCTGACGACACACATGGCGGTCTGCTGTTACCTCATGTCTATGACCTGACTGACGACCACGCTGGGCTGCGTGCTCTTCCCTTCTCCCAGCTCGTACAGGAAGAGTTTGAAGTCACACACCACGGCCATCGCTCTCTGCCAACCCTTCTTCACCCCTGTGGGTTTGGGCACCTGCAACAAAATCACGCGTGACTGTAGACCGGAGCTGGCGCTGGCAAACATCTGGAATATTTTCAAACGAGCGGGTCTGAGGCTTCACTCACCCTCACAAGGCCTTCATACGCAGTCCCGATGCCTCTCTGGGGGTCGATGCCCAGCGGACCCTTGGTCTGATCCTGGGGAACCGGACACACGGCCGGAGCCTTGTCCGCACACGTGACGTGGCAGGAAAAATTACACACTACACACAAAACAGAGACCGGTGAGGAGGCTCAACAGCAGCTGAAGGAGACACATTACGCAACTCTGACTCTGTGCTGCCATGTGGGTCTCTACGCCTCTGCAAGCTCTACGTTAGGGTCTGCTTCTGGGAATTGTCTGCCTACACCAGGCCGGCTCTATAATTCCCATCAGTCGGGACTTTTAGCATGGAACCACCTCTCACCTTCCCTACCCAAGCTGCGAGCCCTGCTGTGTGGCTGCAGGTGAGTGCAGACGCTCACAGCAACTCTGAGAGCGACCCACAACGGGAGCTGACTGGTGAGGAAGTGACTCGGTGCTCTAGCTGTAGAGAAAGCAGGAATGTGGCCCATAATCTTTCCATTCTAACAAGAGGTTAATGCCAGCCAATCAGGGGGTGGGTGGGCGTGGTCAGTGAAGTGACAGAGCCCTGAAACGGTGAGAGGGTCAGAACCGGTTCCCTCTCTGCTTACCTTCACATGCACAGCCCTGCCGGATGAGCCCCACCATGAGCGACGTGCACTGGTTACACTTGGTGGGCGTGTTGAAGGACTTCACTACAAACTGGTGAGCTTTGGGCTGCAGGGGCACAAACCGTCCATGAATCAGCCGTTCTCAAAGAGGAGAAGAAGAACCAGCAGAAACATATCTGACCTTAGGCGAGGAGCGTCCAACACTTCCATACCCTCCAGAGCGCATGGTGGGGGTCTGAACTGGGCGAGCAGGATGGTCTACCAACTACAGACCAGAGCAGACAAAACACACTAAGCAGGCAGGTCCACCCTTCCAGTTCATCAGTGACTAATCCCAGTTTCCCTTCACGCTCCTGGTGACGGCGGTCAGGGGGACCGGAGGTGCACGCCAGGGCAGCGGTGGCTACGATGCAACTCATCACCAGCAGGTGTAAACAGGTGTATGTGTGGGTGTAGGACTGTTGTAAAGAGCTTTGGGGGGTTCTAGGACTCTAGAAGGTAACTGAAACACAAATGCGCTAAACACCGGTGTTTGACGAGCTAACGCTTTCTGACCTCTATGGGCTCCATGTCACTGGCCATGGAGGGGGAGCGAGACTGGGACTTCAGGTGGGACTTGGAGTCATCGTCCTTAGACGGCGTGCTGGAGGGGGTGTAGTTGTTCATCGTGTCCATGGTGTCCACCTGAGAAGAACAAGGAAGGAAGTTGGAAGGTGGGACAAAAAAGGCAAACGTGGGTGGAGCCAAAAAGAGACGAGAACGTTTGTTAGCCAAACTAAACATGCAGCACCCGACTAGACTAGACCCTCTAACCGAGTCTGGTCACCATGCCAACCCAACAAACCATGCACACACACACACACATGCACACACGCGCACACACCTTACAGAGATTAGACAATCACACACATGCACGCACGCACACACACACACACACACACGCACACACAATGTGCAGACAATCACACACACACACATGCACACACACACGCACACGCACACACACACACACACACACACACACACACACACACACACACACACAAGCACGCACACACACACGCACACACACACACACACACACACACACACACACACACAAGCACGCACACATGTACACACAGACACACACACACGCACAGACACACACAGATGTGCAGACAATCACACACACACACACACACACACACACACACAAGCACGCACACATGTACACACAGACACACACACACGCACAGACACACACAGATGTGCAGACAATCACACACACACACGCACGCACAATGTGCAGACAATCACACACACACATGCACACACACACACCTTACGCCGGGGACACACCGGCCGCGGAAGCGCCGAGAAGCGAATTGCTCACGAAATTCGGCCGCTGCTCGCCGCTCCTCAGTTCAGATCAGACGCGCCCCAGTTGAGGCGCGCCTCGGCTCAGCTGTAGTTTTTCTTTTAAACACTTGGTGTCCTCCATTTCCTCTCTGCCTTTTCTCTGCTCTTTTCCTCTACGTATGAGTGTTTGTGCGTGCGTGTACGTGTGTGTGAAATAATATTATAAATAAACATAGGCGTCATTTTAACCGGGGACGCCGGGGACATGTCCCTGGCAAAATTTGTGATTGGCAGCTGTGTCCCCTCACTTTCAAAAACGCCTGCTGATGAGGATTTTTGTTTTACCAGCTCAGATCTTATCCAGGGGTCGGCAACCTGTTCCCATCAAAGAGCCATTATTACCCGTTTCCCACGGTAACTCTGGACGGACCTTAATAAGCAGTGACTTAGTGAAGCAGGCAGGTCGCGCTAGAAAATTTAGTTTAAAAAGACGTCATAAATGTGTTCCCCGTCATTTTTATTTATAAAATATGAAGTAAAAACTCCCAATTTAATTTTCATTCATTTGTCATTAATATGTAGTCTACACCCGCGCGTTAAGTGGACCGTCTTCCAGTAAAAGCAAAGCATCCAGCCCACCTCTCCAAATGCGTAAAATGTGCATCAGCCGCTAGTTAGGTGCGCCGCGCGCACCGTCAGCTGATCAGCCCAGACAAGAGCAGAGCAACTAGAGACAGAATAGAGGATAATTGTGTCTGGATGTGGATGGAGATTACATTTTACAGCAGCCTGATCATCATTTATACGTAAACCATCACCTGTCTTCTAGTCCACGCTATCAGCATTATTTTAATTGGTGTGTGTGTGTGTGTGTGTGTGTGTGTGTGTGTGTGTGTGTGTGTGTGTGTGTGTGTGTGTGTGTGTGTGTGTGTGTGTGTGAACCTATGGTATGAGTTGTTTCTGCCAGTTGAATCTCTTGGAACCCGCTCCAGTTCTGCAGCTGTATCCTAGCAGTTTCTTCCAACATGGGTACTTAAATAACAAAGTTTTTCGGGGGTCGTACAGCTCCTTGTGTTTCTCATCTTCCATAATTCATTTAAAGTCATCCATCCTAACTGCTTGCCTCAGACTTTCTGTCTCTCTGTCCTGTTTACTCCGTGAAAAGACACCCAAAACCACACCCCCCTTCACGCGGTCACACACGCACACAAGTTCGATGTGTGTGTATGTGTGTGTGTTCGTGTGGTTTTTCTGCAGTGTCTGATTACGAACACATTTGATTGCGTAATTTTATTTTGAAATGCTTTATTTTGTTAACTTTACCGGCCTGCCTCTTATGTCTAGGTTTGACTTCCTGCCAGAATTGACGCGATTCACCCGCGGCTCGCGAAAAAAATAGAGCCGACGCCGAAATGATCGCTGCACGGCGCGGGCTGGAGCGCCGGCGCTTCGGCGATTCACGGCGCTTCGGCGGCCCATAAGGTCTATAGAATAGCTTAACAAGGGCGCCGAATGAAGGCGGTCCCATTTTCGCGGCGCTTCCGCGGCCGGTGTGTCCCCGGCGGTACAAAGATTAGACACACGCACGCACACACACACAGACACACACGCACGCACAATGTGCAGACAATCACACACAGACATGCACGCGCACACACACACACACACACACACACACAGACACACACACGCACACACAAATGTGCAGACAATCACACACACACACACAGACACACACACGCACACACACACACACAAATGTGCAGACAATCACACACATGGACAGACACACACACACACACACACACACACACACACACACGACGAGAGAGAGCAGAGATGGTGCTTACACGTCTGCCTTTGCTAGCCAGGCCGACGGACGGCGAGCGCTTGAGTGGTGGGAAAGTGGGCGGAGACACAAGTGAACATTAGAAAGGCGTTCCATCAGAGCTGAAACACGTTTAAACACTCAGGATGGGAGGAAGGCTGCAGAGGATGGACGTGGTTCCCAACCCTTTCAGATTTTACCTTCGTTTCCAAAAGCAAGAGTTTAGGTGCTAATGGGACTCATTAGAACTGGTTTAGCAGTTGTTCTGGTTCTGAGGGGTTCTGGTTGGGAGGCACGGGTTCAGGTTGGAGTTTGTCCACCAAAGAGACACGGAGGACAGAAAGTGAACAGGTAGGATGGTACTGATGGAGAGAAGAATGGGGAAGGCAGCCCACGGTGGTGTAATAATAATAGTAATAACACATAAAACACATGGGCATGGTGTTGGTGAGGTTCTACAGCCAGAACCTCACCGGGCTGCGACCGCTGGGGATCAGCACGTGAGACGGAGTGTCTAAAATATCCAGTTCTGTTTCCTAAAGTCAGCTTTCCTTTAAATAGTTTGTGTATTTGTTTCTGTAGCTAACAGACCAGCGCTATCGCTAGCAACAAACAAGGCTAACGCAGCATCAGCTGGGCAGGAGGCGGGGCTTAAGGAGATGAACAAACAATAGAAATGTGACCCAAAAGGGTTCAAATGAAGGCAACTGGACTTGTTTGGTTCCTTGAAGACGTTTTGCTTCTCATCTGAGGAGCTCTGGAATATGGAAGCTTTAAGCTGTAGCTGTCTATTGTTACTTAATGAGAAGACACTACTCTGAATACCCCTCCTCTCTACCCCTGATGAGTCGTTGTGCAGGAGGGTGACCTAGACTGAAACTGCTCAGGGATTAGATTGAAAACCTGCCCTGCTGCTCTATTTAAAATCGGTTTTTCATGTTGGACATGGATAGCTGCATGAAAATAGTCCAGTTCTAACTATGATGTCATAGAAAGTCAGCGTATCAGTGACTGCGCTACACCAGCGTTGTTTTCATAACCAAGACGAGACGCTGACAAGCTAAAAATAGCTCTTCAGTGACTAAAGCATGACGAGACGAACGGGAGTTTTGGTTAACGAGCCGAGACTAGAGGACTAACCCTAACCCAGCCTCACCAGAGAGCACTAACCACTCTATCTGCATGGATTTCTGATGTGGGTTGGAAGCCAGCGTCACTTGGCCGAGGTAATTATGGACTAATCGATGCAAAACCACGACTAAAACGCGTCAGACAAACTAGTTAGTACAAAAAGGTGAAACTGTAAAAAAATACAGAATATATTCCAGCAACTCAACTTTTAAACCCTGAAGACCTGCAAAGGCTTCCAGAGCCTTTACATGGTCTCTCGGTCTAACCTGAACTGGTTAAATAAATAAACTTTTTCCAGTTTCACCAGTAAATCTAGCTGAAGTCATGATCCAGTTTCAAGTGTAACTGGTCACCAGAATCATATCCCAGTGTGGTACCAGCCTCATGTTCCTGCACCGCACGCCTGAAGAGAGGATTTTAAAACCCTAGAACAGCGTGGCTTTGATAAGAACCCGTGCTACAGGTGGGCAGTTTAACCCCTACAGGATACACAACACACACACGGTCCTCCAGCTACAACACACACACGGTCCTCCAGCTACAACACACACACGGTCCTCCAGCTACAACACACACACGGTCCTCCAGCTACAACACACACACGGTCCTCCAGCTACAACACACACACGGTCCTCCAGCTACAACACACACACGGTCCTCCAGCTACAACACACACACGGTCCTCCAGCTACAACACACACTTACATCTTCCCAAAACTCTATTAAAGACGATGAGGATGAAGAGAAAGAGTCCTGATGGATCAAAGGGATGCAGGAGACAAACACCAGAAGCAGAGATGAGTTCAAACCGGTTCAGAATAAGAGACGAGTGATTTAACCGTAACCCTCTAGTCAGCAGGTCCGATAGAAACTTACATCAAACTGGTCGAGGGCAGAAGTGGGAGCAGTGAGAAAAGCCAAGAAGGAATTCTGGGAATCCTGGTGCTTGACACCTATCGACACAGAACAAACTCATTAAAGCATCACAAGATGACTGAAGGGGTCACGGGACCAACGCCTGAAGGGCTTTCATACGGCCTCCGTGACATTACCTTCTTGTGCACGCTCACGTGCACTAAAGCTGAGCCTAGAGCTGCTGACTACAGACGAACCTTCTTCCTTCATCAACACTCACTCACCGAGTCCGTCAGAGCCCGGGCTGCATCAGGACATTAGCTACGGCTAGTAACCTTTAAATGTTGCGTTTACCCCTTCGCAGCCGCAGCTCCTCGGTCTCCTTCTTCAGCCGCTCGATCTCCGCCAGCAGCTCCTGGTTTTCAGTCTCCACCTCCCGCAGTTTACTGGAAGACCGGAGACAACAGCACATCAGCTCCTGGACTCGAGGAGAAGCCGGCGTCACGGTGACGAGTCCTTACCATTCGGTGGAGATGCTGTCGGCCTTCACCTTGTTCAGCTCGTCCTGGATGCTCTGCTTGGCTCTGATCTCAGTGTCCAGGGCAGACTGCAGCTCCAGACGCGCAGACATGTCCAGCTTGGCAAAGCGTCGCATTTTCCATGGCATGTCCTGAAACACAGAGGACAGGAAGTCATGTTTTACATCCCAGCTTTGGTGCAACAGGGGCGAGTCTACCCCTGGCCCTGGTCTCCACTCTACACATGCAGGTTGGGTTAGCCTGCGTTCCCACACACAACAGTGGTGTTTATAAATGACCAAACAGCCCATTCTAGCTGCCTGTGAAAGAAGCAGCTTCATGGACCAACATGAGCGCCTGCAGCCGGGGACAGCGGCTCTCAATGAGCTGGACTTGCTTTGAAGCTAAATAACATCAACTTCACGATAGAACTGAAGGTCTTCGTAGAAAACGAGGTGCTGAGGTGAGACATGCTACTACGTCCATGACTGACGTGGTACAGAGACGGTTTAGTGTGAACTCATGTGCTGCTACAGCTGAAGAGTAAATTACAACCTCAGACCAACACAGTCGGCTTCTAGAGGAGACGTTTGTTACCGTGGCTCTGGCTCCCAGGCTGCTGCTCCTCAGACCCTCCAGCTCCTCCGTCATCTTAGTGGCCAGAGCCTGAAGGTAGCCTCGAGCATCCTTCTCATCGCTCACCCTGCAGCGCACACACACACACGCACACACACACACACGCACACGCACTAGTGACCATTTATAAATCCACAAACAGAAATTATGAGCTCTAAATTTCCTTCCTTTCTCTACAAACTAAGCTATTCAGGTAAACTTTCAAATATTATTAAAAATCTAAGATTTTGAGGAATCTCAGGCAGAAGCCAGTGCTTAAAACGGTCTACCAACACAAGAGGAGGAGGAGGAGAAAGAAGCTGCTTTTAGAACATCCTTGTTCCAGATTTTCTCCCTTGCAGCTGCACTGCACCACCACCAGGGGGCAACACTGGTCACCAATTCCAGGGGCAAGTTCAGACATTGGTGTGTATGTTTGGAATGTGCTGTGGCCGTGATGCTGAATGTGTGTGTGGCATGTGTGCTATGTGAAGCCTTTAGGCTCGTCCACCAGAGAGAGGCTGAGCAGCTGGCGAGGTGTCAGCTGCCATCGGAGAGGATCTGAGAGGAGGGCGGGTCGAGCAGCTCCACCATCCCCAGAGGTATGTGACACACGCTGCAAATTTACAGTAGAAAGGAACCCAACACACTGCTGGCGTGCACGTCTCAGCTTGAGCCATAGCATGAGTGGGAGCGTAGACGCCTCGGAGCTGGACTTTGGGACACACGAGAAGCTCGCTGCGTGTGTGTGTGAGGAAGGAAGTGTTCGGGGGTGGGGTTTGTTGCGAGGCTTACCACTGGATGATTTCTGTGATCTGGGCCTCCCAGTGAGCCACACTCTCCTTCTTATCTGCCAGCTCCCTCATCTCATCCTCCAGCTGCCGGTTAGAGCTGCTCACCTTCTCAAACATGGTGGTCAACTGAGCAAACACACAGATCATCGAATGAATTCAACAGGGTGAGCCACAGCTGGCACTGAACACACACGTAGACCACGTTGTGTGTGTGTGGAGACATAACCATGACAACATTACAGGTCTCAAACGGCCTGATTGCTTAAATCCTCCCTTTGCAGGTACGTGTTTGGTGCGTTGCACCTGGCCAGGACAGCTGAGGCAGCTATTGAACGGTGTTTGAGATCGCTGGGTCCAAAAACTGGTTTGTAACCATTTCTGAAGTCGTGTGAGCTCATAAAACATGTCTGTCATCAGCAGAGCAGTAGCAGAGTTTCACACTGGAAACCAACCACACAGGTGCCGTCCAGGCCTGACTGCTGTTGGTCTTCCACACATGAACCAGTCCAGAGCCGCTGATGGAACCAGTAACAGCAGCCAAGAGCTAAGAGCTCTTCTCAGTGTGGTGTTGTGCTTCTGAATGCAACCCCGTAGAATCAGGATCATTTCCTGGATTTAATCACATGAAAACCACGACTCCTTTATTTGTTGATGTAAAGCCAGTTATGAATGTTCAGGAGCGTTATTCAGCATATTTTTATAGAACGTGCCGTTTCTCTAGTGATCAGTTAAGATCATGGATGTAGCTTTGGGGGGTACATGTCCCCCCATTTTTGTCCCCTGCACTTTTTACCGTCCATAAACAACATTACACTGTATTACACAGGCTCTGGTTGAGCACAAGGACCAAGCGGAAAACAACTGCTTGTGTTGAAGCGCCCCCCCAGTCACAGCTAAAATGGTTAAGAGAGACCAACAGCCAGAGTTGTATAACGTAAATCTGATAAAGAACTTCAGAAAACCCTTTGGAAAGAATTTGAAGCGGTTTATAATTTAAATGAAGTGAAAACGTTCCCCTCATGTATTAACCTGCATTCATCCTCCAGCATGGACCTTACATGGGGGTACCACAGGGCTCCATTCTTGGACCACTCTTGTTTGCTGTGTACCTACTGCCATTAGAAGAGATAGTCAGGAAACATAGCCTTCAACTTGTTTCCATGTCATTTTCATGGTCTTGACCTCTACTTCCAGATGTTGGTGCCAGATGTTTCTTTCTCAACCTCTTCTCAGTTTTCCTTGTGGGTTCCATCTTAGGGCTAGTCTAGTAATTCTGTCCATATGATTTTATGCCTCTGCATTTCTTTATTCCTTCTTCTGCAGGCAGCTGATTAGTTTTCAGCCATGTTTCCTGTTGTGATGGTTTCTGGCCGATGCATACTCATTACTTTGCGTAGGCAGCTGCTGATGAAGCTACGCACTTCTGTTGTGATTACTACTGTGGTGGAGTAGAACTGCCTTCCTGGTACTATTTTGTTCGTTCTTTCTGTGCTTTTCCTCGTAATCCATGTCTTTGTTCTTTTTTTTACAGTTTAATAAAAACTATTGTTTTACGTGAGAACGACGTCGCCCTCTACTGCTCCACTCCGTCATTGCAATAATTGAAACATCAGCTTAAGACCTGTTTGTGCTCTTTAGCCTTCAGCATTGTGCTCCCTGCGGTGAACAATGTATTGTTTTATTGTCTGTATCAACTTTGTTGTTCTTTCACTGGTTTTGTTCTTGTTTATGTCATGCCCAGCACTTTGGACCACCTAGGAACGTGTGGAAAGTGCTTTAAAAATAAAGTTGATTGATTGATTGGAACGAAAAAGCGGATCGATTAAGCTTTTCAAACTACATGAATAGAAAAGAGCAGTAGCGACAAATATCCTCTACATTTTATCAGTGGCAGCTTTTCAGAACAAGTCACGTTTTCCTCCTGCTGTTAAGATGCCTCCCACCTACTAGAAACCATTTCACTTGGGGCCCTCCTGATCTTCCAGGAGCCACTTCCAAAGCCAACAGGCCAGGATCCAGGGTCCTTCCATCACACCGTGCAGCAGTCTTTTATTTAACCGTGTTTTTTTCTTTGGCACGGCTGCGGGAGAGGGGCGGAGGAAGGAATGTGATGAAGGAGTTGAGCCGTCAGACGGGGTTAGCAGGGGTTGCAGGAGCAGTAAGAAGCTGAGACAGCAGGACAGGAGGCTCTGAAGAGAAAACAGAGCAGCTCGTCTTATTCTGCAGAGCTCCACAGCAGATACCGTACCTTGTCTAGTTCACTGGACAGCTTCTTTTTCTCCTCGGTGAGCTGGATCCGCTCTGTCTCATACTTCTGCTTGTACTCCATCTCCAACTCTTCCCGTTCAATTTGGCTGGAGGAAACAAACACAGCCGTCATACATGAAACCCGGTCCCTACCAGGCGCTCGCACTGCGGTCTGAACCTTTACAGAAGTCTTCCACACCCAGACTGGGGACTCTCTCTTAGGCCAAGACACACTCGTGCAGCTAGAAACTGATACAGCTGTGTGTTTAAACTGAATTAAACAGCAGAGGGGAAATGCTTCAACAACACGAGGCAGGAAGGGTAAACTACAGGGTAGAAAAACACAAGTGAACAAAAACAGGATCTAATCAACTCTAAATGTGATCAGATGAGATCTTCAGTGGAAAAATAACAACCTTTATACCATAAATGACATTCAAATCTAGAGTGGAAACATGTTTAATAAGCTTCACCCTTATTTATCTGATCCTACTTGTTATTACTCTGATTAGTCAAATCTGAACAGACACATAAACTGTTTTAATTGAGCGTTTTATTCTAAAAATATCATATTTTATCATTTATTTCTGCAAATCTTAATGCAGTGTTGTAAACCATGTGACTAACTGGAGCCAACAGAAGGGTCATCAGAGATGATGCACCTTTCACTTCCACAGGATCTGGTCATGAAATTAAATATACGACAAAGCTGACAGCGTCTTATGACTGTGTCGTGGCGGCGTGGCCAGGTGTGCAGCATTACAGCGTGGCACAACAGAGGGAGGTGTCATGATCACATGGGGAGTTGCTGCCCATCTCCGGCCGGCAACCATATTAAAAATGAAATAAACCATTTTTAAAGAGATCTAGCCGAGATGATAAACGGGAGGGATGCCGAGCTCCAGGAGCTTCACTACGTTAGAGCTGGGGGTCAGATCACGGGGGCTGTGGGGGACAGCCACCTTTAGGAGCGGCCTGTCAAAGAAACATAATGAGCACGACTAAAGTTATGTCCAAGATAAATGGAAGTCTGCACCAGCACAGAGACCGCCCCAGACCCCCTTTAGAACGCCATTGCAGGATGTTTTGTAAAGGACACGATTGCGCAACATTACCACCAACATCTGACCACTTATAAACGAGCTAAGGTTCCCCGATGCCGGCTCAATGTTGCAGCAAACTGGCAGCATTCCAGGTTGTTCCTGGCTCAGACTGAGGCAGAGGCGGTACCATCCTGACCGTGCACCAGCACATGCGTACTCTTGTGCATTCAACTGCCTCACCTTTTTAAAGGCCAAATATGTTTTCGTTAAGTGTTCTAATCTAAGCTTCTGTTGATTCGTGGAATATTACATTTGACAACGTTTCAAGTGAAACTAAACTGGCTGATACAGCGCCCCGCAGTGGCGCAACGCTGCAACTGCAGTTAAAATAACCTCCATACAGCTGGGGGCAGAGTGAAGTCAGGCTGGGGCGGCACAAAAACAGCTGGAGGCGGCCGCCACGCTAATTTGAACGCAGGAAAAACCCTGGTATTGTTTTCTAAAATAATCTAGTTTCAACAACATGTTGATACCTTTCCAGAGATTAACAGTAAAACTACACAGCGTCTCGGAGGTTTTCCCAAATTAGAGAATGTCCGGGTTTTGTCCCGTTAATATATATATAGTAAAATCTCATCTGGGTCATGAAACATAGAAAACACTTCAACCCGATGGACAGGTAACCTAGAAACGGTCTATCTACAGAAACACCACTAATCCAGCACTAGTTCCACCAGACGAGGGGCTGAAATCATTTATAGTAACAGAAGTTACCTCAAAGAATCGCTGTGAAAGAAAAACATGAAGAAGAGATGAATGATGGGTGCAACATCCACCGACTGTGGAGTCAGAACCGGTTGGATGTACCTCTCTCTGCGTATCTTGTCCAGTTTGTCTCGGAGCATCAGGATCTCCTTCTGCAGGGTGAGCTGTTGGCTCTCAGCATCTCTCAGCTCTTTGCGCTGGGCCTTTAGCTCAGTGCTATGCTGCGCCTCTCTGCGTGCCAGCTCCTGCTCGTACACCAGGGTCTTCTTCTCCATTTCTGCACGCAGCCGTCCCGCCTCCTGGGTCTGGTCTGCTAAAGCTGGGACGGAGGAAGAACCAGCCTGCTTCACCTGAAAGGTGAGGAAAGGTGTTAAATCATGCTGGTTTCTCCTTTCCTGCTCCGTCAGAAGAGCCTGCGATTCACCTTCAGCCCTTCCAGCTCCTCCTCCAGCTGCCTGCTGTACTGCTCATTACGCTCTCGGAGCTTCTTCTCTTTCTGGGCCTCGGCTGACTGCTCCTCTGACTGCACCTCCATCTGACAGCACACAAACAAACGCCACTGACGGGATGTAATCAAACACCCGGGCTCTCCTACCCACAAACATCTAAACCACAGGTGATGAAACAAAGCTGCTGGACGAATCTAACTAGTTTCATTTGATCATGTGACTGTATTCCAGCGCTGTTCTCTTTGGGTAAATGATGCACAAAAACATAACAACTGTGAAGACAATCTCCCACAACACCACTCAGAATGGTTTCCGGCTGGAGTCAAATGCAGCCACAGCAACAGTTATTACAGGTATCCTTGTGAAGAGGGAGTACACACAGTAGTACACAGTACCACAGTAGCTTAGATCACCAGAGGAAGACAGAACAGAGTGACGCTAACAACCACAGGGAGTCTACTCTACCTCCTTCTTGGACCTCTCAGCCTTTCGCACCTCAAGGCGGAGAGCCTCAACTTTCTGATTCTGGCTCTCCATCTCCTCCTCCTTGTCCCTCAGCTGGCGAGTGAGGCGCTGCTTCACAGACCTGAAAATCACCAGAGGAAACGCTGCACTTAGGAATGGGAAACGGTGTAAATACGAGTCTAATTGAAGCGTTTCATGTCAGGGGGCCATTCAGGTAACGCCTGGGGTCAAACTAGGGTTCTACCTGAGCTCTGTTAGCCTCTCGTTGAGCTCAGAAAACTCCTGCATGGCCAGTTTTCTCTGGCTGTGGGCTTCCTTCAGCTCTTTGGACTGAGACTTCATCTTCTCACTGACCTCTAACAGATCCTGTTTGGAGCAGCAACAGAGCATTAAAGGAAACTGTTTTCATAAGAACTACAGTCAGGTCCATAAATACTGGGACATGGACACAATGCTAACATTTTTGGCTCTCTACTCCAACATGGATATCCAATGAAAGGAACAAGATGTGCTTTAACTGCAGACTGTCGGCTTTTATTTGAGGTATTTACATCTAAATCCGGTGATCGGTGTAGGAATTACAACAGTTAGCATATGTGCCTCCCACTTGTTAAGGGACCGAGAGTAATGGGACAGAATAAGAACCATAAATCAAACAAACGTTTCAATACTTGGTTGCAAATCCTTTGCAGTCAATTACAGCCTGAAGTCTGGAACACACAGACATCACCAGAGGTTGGGTTTCATCCCTGGTGATGCTCTGCCAGGCCTCTACTGCAACAGTCTTCAGTTCCTGCTTGTTCCTGGGGCCTTTTCCCTTCAGTTGTGTCTTCAGCAAGTGAAATGCATGCTCAGTCTGATTCAGGTCAGGTGACTGACTTGGCCATTGCAAAACAGTCCACTTCTTTCCCTTCAGAAACTCTTTGGTTGCTTTTGCAGTATGCTTTGGGTCATTGTCCATCTGCACTGTGAAGCGCCGTCCAATGAGTCCAACGAGTTCTGAGGCATTTGGCTGAATATGAGCAGATGTTGCCCGAAACACTTCAGAACTCATCGTGCTGCTTTTGTCAGCAGTCACATCATCAATAAGTACAAGAGAACCAGTTCCACTGGCAGCCACACATGCCCACACCATGACACTTCCAGCACCGTGCTTCACTGATGAGGTGGTATGCTTAGGATCATGAGCAGTTCCTTTCGTCTCCATACTCTTCTCTTCCCATCACTCTGGTACAAGATGATCTTGGTCTCATCTGTCCATAGGATGTTGTTCCAGAACTGTGAAGGCTTTTTAGATGTTGTTTGGCAAACTCTAATCTGGCCTTCCTGGTGTTGGGGCTCACCAGTGGTTTACATCTTGTGGTGAACCCTCTGTATTCACGCTGGTGGAGTCTTCTCTTGGTTGTTGACTTTGACACAGATACACCTACCTCCTGGAGAGTGTTCTCGATCTGGTCAACTGTTGTGAAGGTGTTTTCTTCACCAGGGAAAGGATTCTTCCGTCATCCACCACAGTTGTTTTCCGTGGTCTTCCGGGTCTTTTGGTGTTGCTGAGCTCACCGGTGCATTCCTTCTTTTAGAGAATGTTCCAAACTGTTGTTTTGGCCACGCCTAATGTTTTTGCCATCTCTCTGGTAGGCTTCTTTTGTTTTTTCAGCCTAATGATGGCTTGCTTCACTGATGGTGACAGCTCTTTGGATCTCATCTTGACAGTTGACAGCAACAGATCACAAATGCAAATAGCACACTTGAAATGACCTCTGGACCTTTTATCTGCTCATTGTAATTGGGATAATGAGGGAATAACACACACCTGGCCATGGAACAGCTGAGATTGTCCCATTACTTTTGGTCCCTTAACAAGTGGGAGGCACAAATGCAACTGTTGTAATTCCTACACCGTTCACCTGATTTGGATGTAAATACCTCAAATAAAAGCTGACAGTCTGCAGTTAAAGCACATCTTGTTCGTTTCATTTGATATCCATTGTGGTGTATAGAGCTAAAAATGTTAGCATTGTGTCGATGTCCCAGTATTTATGGACCTGACTGTATGCTGGTTTTAAAGAACTGTGGGTTTCTCCCAGCATGACAAAAACACAGAATTGGTTCGTCTTTAATTACAAAGCAAGTTTGGTGTTTCCACCTTCTGTAAGTCGTCCCTCTCCTGTGTTACACTCTTCATCTGTTTCTCCAGAGTTTTGACGTGTTTGAACGAGTCCTCCAAGTCCCTGCGAGCTGATGTCACATCCTCCAGCTGCTTCTCCTGCTGACTTGAGTCTGACACACAAAAGGTTTTCAGTTTCATGACATCGGTTTCGTTTATGTTTTTCTTCTGACTGATGGATCAGCGGCATTTATCACAAGTAACATCGCTTCATCTAAAAACATGCATCATTAGAAGACTCGCTCCGTTCACCCAACACTTTTGTTGATGATGGTGAAATTTCATCACTGTGGTAACTGCAGCCACATATCAGTCACTCCAACTAATACTTCCTCGCTCGCCCACGGAGCCTTCATCTTCCTTGCGTGTATCACGGTGAAGTGCTCGGTGTTGAGTGAGTGTGCTCGTCAAAGGCATGCTCATGAGTCATTTTAACAGCTCAGAGAGAGCAAGCAAACAATACCTGTATTCATAACACATGTATTTATAGAGAAAAATGTGCTGACCAGCGATCTGCTTCTTGAGAATGTCGATCTCGCTCTTCAGACTCCTGATCTCCACTTCCTTGTTGGTGTCGAATGGTCTCTCACCTGTCGGGTGCTGTAGCGCCTGCACAGTCTGGGTTGACTCTGGAACGCAGAAGAAATATTTGTTTCTTAGATTTCACAAAACCTTCTAAGTGAAACTGTAGAGACTTTGTGTGTGGGAATGCCCAGGTCTGACGACTGCACAGGTGACCCTGAAAAGATCCAAACTGGTGGACATTTATTTGTTTTTATCTTGGGGGTTGTCCTTTTTACTGTACAGCACTTTGGTGAGCTGTCATGCTGTTTTTAAATGTGCTATATAAATAAACATGGTATGGCATGGCATGGCATGGCATGGCATGGCATAGTATGGTATAGTATGGTATAGTGTGGTATGGCATGGTAATGGTATAGTATGGTAATGGTATAGTGTGATATGGTATGGTGTGGTGTGGTATGGTATAGTGTGATATGGTATGGTATGGTATGGTATAGTGTGGTATGGTATAGTGTGATATGGTATGGTATGGTATAGTGTGGTATGGCATAGTAAGGTATGGTGTGGTATGGTATACTGTGGTATGGTATAGTGTGGTATGGTATGGTATAGTGTGGCATGGTGTGGTATAGTATGGTATGGTATAGTGTGGTATGGTGTGGTATGGTATGGTATAGTGTGGCATGGTGTGGTATAGTATGGTATGGCATAGTGTGGTATGGTATGGTATAGTGTGGTATGGTATGGTATAGTGTGGTATGGTATGGTATAGTGTGGTATGGTATGGTATGGTATAGTATGGTATGGTATGGTATGGTATGGTATAGTATGGTATGGTATAGTGTGGTATGGTATAGTGTGGTTTGGTACAGTAAGGTATGGTATAGTGTGGTATGGTGTGGTATGGTGTGGTATGGTATGGCATGGCATGGTATTGTATGGTATAGTTCGGTATGGTACAGTGTGGTGTGGTATGGTATGGTATGGTGTGGTATGGTATAGTATGGTATAGTGTGGTACGGTATAGTGTGGTATGGTATGGTATAGTATGGTATGGTGTGGTATGGTATAGTGTGGTATGGTATGGTATAGTGTGGTATGGTACAGTATGGTATGGTATAGTGTGGTATGGTATAGTGTGGTATGGTGTGGTATGGTATGGCATGGCATGGTATTGTATGGTATAGTTCGGTATGGTACAGTGTGGTATGGTATGGTATAGTGTGGTATGGTATGATATGGTATAGTGTGGTATGGTATGGTATGGTGTGGTATGGTATAGTATGGTATAGTGTGGTACGGTATAGTGTAGTATGGTATGGTATAGTATGGTATGGTGTGGTATGGTATGATATGGTATAGTGTGGTATGGTATGGTATAGTATGGTATAGTGTGGTACGGTATAGTGTGGTATGGTATGGTATAGTGTGGTATGGTATAGTGTGGTACGGTATAGTGTGGTATGGTATGGTATGGTATAGTATAGTATGGTATGGTATAGTGTGGTATGGCGTGGTATAGTATGGTATGGTATGGTATAGTGTGGTATGGCGTGGTATGGTATGGTATAGTGTGGTATGGTGTGGTATGGTATGGTATAGTGTGGTATGGTGTGGTATGGTACAGTATGGTATGGTATGGTATAGTGTGGTATGGTATGGTATAGTGTGGTATAGTGTGGTATGGTACAGTATGGTATGGTATGGTATAGTGTGGTATGGCGTGGTATGGTATGGTATAGTGTGGTATGGTGTGGTATGGTATGGTATAGTGTGGTATGGTATGGTATAGTGTGGTATAGTATGGTATGGTATAGTGTGGTATGGTGTGGTATGGTATGGTATAGTGTGGTATAGTATGGTATGGTATGGTATAGTGTGGTATGGCGTGGTATGGTATGGTATAGTGTGGTATGGTGTGGTATGGTATGGTATAGTGTGGAATGGTGTGGTATGGTGTGGTATGGTATAGTGTGGTATGGTGTGGTATGGTACAGTATGGTATGGTATGGTATAGTGTGGTATGGTATAGTATGGTATGGTATAGTGTGGTATGGTGTGGTATGGTACAGTATGGTATGGTATAGTGTGGTATGGTATGGTACAGTATGGAATGGTATAGTGTGGTATAGTATGGTATGGTATGGTATAGTGTGGTATGGTGTGGTATGGTATAGTGTGGTATGGTACAGTAAGGTATGGTATAGTGTGGTATGGTGTGGTATGGTATGGCATGGTATTGTATGGTATAGTTCAGTATGGTACAGTGTGGTATGGTATGGTATGATATGGTATAGTATGGTATGGTATGGTATAGTGTGGTATGGTATGGTGTGGTATGGTATGGTATAGTGTGGTATAGTATGGTATGGTATGGTATAGTGTGGTATGGTGTGGTATGGTATAGTGTGGTATGGTACAGTAAGGTATGGTATAGTGTGGTATGGTGTGGTATGGTATGGCATGGTATTGTATGGTATAGTTCGGTATGGTACAGTGTGGTGTGGTATGGTATTGTATGGTGTGGTATGGTATAGTGTGGTATGGTACGGTATAGTGTGGTATGGTATGGTATAGTATGGTATGGTGTGGTATGGTATAGTGTGGTATGGTATGGTATAGTGTGGTGTGGTATGGTATAGTGTGGTATGGTATGGTATAGTATGGTATGGTGTGGTATGTTATAGTGTGGTATGGTATGGTATAGTGTGGTATGGTATGGTATAGTGTGGTATGGTATGGTATGGTATAGTGTGGTGTGGTATGGTATGGTATAGTGTGGTATGGTATGGTATAGTATGGTATAGTGTGGTACGGTATAGTGTGGTATGGTATGGTATAGTGTGGTATGGTATAGTGTGGTACGGTATAGTGTGGTATGGTATGGTATGGTATAGTATAGTATGGTATGGTATAGTGTGGTATGGCGTGGTATAGTATGGTATGGTATGGTATAGTGTGGTATGGCGTGGTATGGTATGGTATAGTGTGGTATGGTGTGGTATGGTATGGTATAGTGTGGTATGGTGTGGTATGGTACAGTATGGTATGGTATGGTATAGTGTGGTATGGTATGGTATAGTGTGGTATAGTGTGGTATGGTACAGTATGGTATGGTATGGTATAGTGTGGTATGGCGTGGTATGGTATGGTATAGTGTGGTATGGTGTGGTATGGTATGGTATAGTGTGGTATGGTATGGTATAGTGTGGTATAGTATGGTATGGTATAGTGTGGTATGGTGTGGTATGGTATAGTGTGGTATAGTATGGTATGGTATGGTATAGTGTGGTATGGCGTGGTATGGTATGGTATAGTGTGGTATGGTGTGGTATGGTATGGTATAGTGTGGAATGGTGTGGTATGGTGTGGTATGGTATAGTGTGGTATGGTGTGGTATGGTACAGTATGGTATGGTATGGTATAGTGTGGTATGGTATAGTATGGTATGGTATAGTGTGGTATGGTGTGGTATGGTACAGTATGGTATGGTATAGTGTGGTATGGTATGGTACAGTATGGAATGGTATAGTGTGGTATAGTATGGTATGGTATGGTATAGTGTGGTATGGTGTGGTATGGTATAGTGTGGTATGGTACAGTAAGGTATGGTATAGTGTGGTATGGTGTGGTATGGTATGGCATGGTATTGTATGGTATAGTTCAGTATGGTACAGTGTGGTATGGTATGGTATGATATGGTATAGTATGGTATGGTATGGTATAGTGTGGTATGGTATGGTGTGGTATGGTATGGTATAGTGTGGTATAGTATGGTATGGTATAGTGTGGTATGGTGTGGTATGGTATAGTGTGGTATGGTACAGTAAGGTATGGTATAGTGTGGTATGGTGTGGTATGGTATGGCATGGTATTGTATGGTATAGTTCGGTATGGTACAGTGTGGTGTGGTATGGTATTGTATGGTGTGGTATGGTATAGTGTGGTATGGTACGGTATAGTGTGGTATGGTATGGTATAGTATGGTATGGTGTGGTATGGTATAGTGTGGTATGGTATGGTATAGTGTGGTGTGGTATGGTATAGTGTGGTATGGTATGGTATAGTATGGTATGGTGTGGTATGTTATAGTGTGGTATGGTATGGTATAGTGTGGTATGGTATGGTATAGTGTGGTATGGTATGGTATGGTATAGTGTGGTGTGGTATGGTATGGTATAGTGTGGTATGGTATGGTATAGTATGGTATGGTGTGGTATGGTATAGTGTGGTATGGTATGGTATAGTGTGGTATGGTATGGTATGGTATAGTGTGGTGTGGTATGGTATAGTGTGGTATGGTATGGTATGGTTATAGTGTGGTGTGGTATGGTATAGTGTGGTATGGTATGGTATAGTATGGTATGGTGTGGTATGGTATAGTGTGGTATGGTATGGTATAGTATGGTATGGTGTGGTATGGTATAGTGTGGTATGGTATGGTATAGTGTGGTATGGTATGGTATGGTATAGTGTGGTATGGTATGGTATGGTATAGTGTGGTGTGGTATGGTATAGTGTGGTATGGTATGGTATAGTATGGTATGGTGTGGTATGGTATAGTGTGGTATGGTATGGTATAGTGTGGTATGGTATGGTATAGTATGGTATGGTGTGGTATGGTATAGTGTGGTATGGTATGGTAT